CAGGCCGGCAGATCAGGTCCAGAAATGCAGCCTCCACCCAGACATGGGTCAGAAGGGCACGCTGATGTGCTGGGCTCACTGCTTACCCTGGTCTCCCACGTGGAGGCAGATCTGCTGCAGTTCGATGCCCGTGGCAACAGCATCCCGTTTCCAGGCCTGCAGACCCTAAGTGAGTTTGATGTGGCTCCTGTCTGCCACAGAGGCCCGTGGATTCGTGTGCAGACACCACAGCAGCAAGAGGCACCGCTGCGAGATCTGGGCAGTGTTTGCCTATCTCTGCGGGACTGTGTGGTGGTTGGGGAAGGTTTCCTGTGGGAGGCGGCTGGGTTTTGCAGGATGAATAGAAGTTTTCGTGCCCAGCACAGAAGCGTGAACCCATGTAGTGTGTTTGGGGATGTACAAGCAAGCCAGTGTCTGGAGGGTGGGGAAAGTGGGGGCCAGGCGGGTGGCTCGGTGGAGCAGTAGCAGCAGCCACACCATAGCAGGTTCTGAGAAGGTATCAGTCAGAGCTGTGGTTTCACCTTGGCCTCTCTGAGTGGGTCTCCATCAGGGCTGGACTGCAACACAGTATTTGGGGTGGCCTGATGGAGGGTGTGGTGGCACGTGGACGTTGGGGGAGGAGTCCCCAGGGTCTATGCAGGCAGGAGGGACCCGACACCATGGCCCCATCTTGGGAGCCTACGCTGAGGAGGAGGGTGGGAGAATCATGTGTGGATGCCTACATTCGTACCTTGCCTCCTGCTCCTTGGAGTCCACACCCACCTGAAGGCCCAGCGTCTGGGAGCCCAGCAACTTCTAATGCATTTACTTCCATTTACACAGGGATTGGCTCCAATAGGCTGTGGGCGAGCTATGGCCACCTGCCCTTACCTAGCCTCTGCCTGATCAGGAACTTGACTAAACCCCTCATGAGCAGGTGCCAACCTAATTGCATCTTGATCCTTCGGCTTTGAGCACCTTGGCATCTCCGAGGAAATCATAGGGATGGGAGGCAATGGTCTCAATCATAGGGATGTCCTGGGTGTGGAAATAACCCAGTGAGGAATTCACTGGGGCTCCCTCTGAGCATGCTCCTCAGTGGCCCTGCCAGGTGCTCACGCTTCTGGACACTTCCAGTGTTGCTCCCTTCCCAGACCCCCTCACCCCTCCTGCTCCCTGCCCTCCACACTTCCACCCCATGAGGAATGGTGGTAAATTTGGTCAGCTTTATGAACTCTACTGGGCCACTTTTTACATGAGCTGGTGTCTGTGTGCTTAGGGTAGGCTCCTGGCCATGGCCTCTGGTAAGGGTGGAGCTGATGTGGGACCACCCCCAGGAGACTTGGGCATCATGCCCTACTGTCTTCCCTTCCTGGAGCTCCTGGTCCATGAAGCCTCCTGTTTATCTAACTCTGCTCACTGTGAGAAAGAGGTTAAAATGCGCTAAGGACCGAACGTTTGTGTTGCCTTGAATTTAAATGTTGAAGCCCTAATCACCCATGTCATGGTGTTGGGAGGTGGGCTTTGGCAAGTAGTTCTGCTGTTGGCAGTTGGATAATCAGGTCAAGGATGCAGAGTCCCATAATGGGATTAGTGACCTTATAAGAGAGGTGATCTCTCTCTCTGCCACGTGAGGACACAGTAAGAAGCCACCCCTTACCATGTGATCTGCGAGCACCTTGATCTTGGACTTCCAGCCTCTAGAACTGTGAAAAGTCAGTGCTGTTCAATGCCCAGCCTAGGTATTCTGTTATAGCAGCTCGAGCCAAGACAACACATAAGAAACCCGCACGCAACGTGGAGCCCAACACGGGGTAGATCTCACGACTCAGATCATGACTGAAGCCGAAATCAAGAGTTGGACACTCAAGTGACTCAGCCCCCCAGGTGCCCCAAGAAGCTAAACTTTTAAGAAGCTGGAATTCTTGAAAGCTGATAAGAGATGCCATGAAGTAGGTGCCACAGGCTTAAATACCTGAGGGCCACAGGAAGTGGGGAAAACCCAAATCTGGAGGTGGGGCAGCTCTGATGTTTCTGTGTGGCTGGAGGCCTGAGGAGAGTGATGCTGGAAGATATGGGTAGCAGACACCCACCTGTGGAAGGCCCAGAAGGATCTATATAGGCTCATTTTGGGGTACACTTTATGACAGAGGCAGAAAGGAATCGTGAAAAATTCTGATGGAACAAAGTTGGGGCTCCAATCCCACTCCTCGCGACACTCGTTCTGTCATTGAGCACTACTCACTACCTAGTCGGGACCGGACAACAGAAGACCATGGAATCTAGCATCTAAATGGAGACATTAGGACATGAGGAGGTTGCTATCTGTATTGATGCAGGGCTAACAGGTATAAATCAGGTGTTCTCCTTGAGCACATGGGCAATTCCTGTGGACCTGGAAAGACTTTTTAGACCTGCTGCCTGCTCTCCTTGCTGTGGTCAGAAAGGCAGGGATGAGGCAGTGGTGAGCAGCACCATGTAGGAAAGGCAGAGCTAACAGGCAGAAGAGCTTGCAGGGGAGCAGGGAGGAGGGCTTGACGATAGCAAACACACGTCTGGAGCAGGGTCTTGAGGGCAAGGTTGGGTTGCCTCTGATGGGTAGTGGATGGTGAGTGCATTTCTTGCAAGGGGATCACAGGAGGGATGAGCGAGTGCCACGTGCTTTCACCCTGCAACCTGATGCTTGTTCCATAGTGATGTGGGGAACAGGTGGAGGGAGGGAACGTGGGCCATGGGGAGCATTCCAGCCTGAGGAGTTTAGATTCAATGCAGGAGGAATAGGAGCCGAGAATGAGAGGCGTGTCACTGAGTTGTTCCGATAGCTGCTCCGTCTTATTGGACCTGTTTCCTCATCTGGGAAATGGCATCTCTCCACCACTCAGGTTTAGTGGGAACAACCAAGAACAGCTGTGAAAATACTGCAAAAAGATTATATCATGACCCAGAAGACTGTATTGGTACCTGTTCCACAGCTCAAAACCCAAGGCTTGAGCAACAGCTGGAGAGGCAGGACATAACACAGTGGCAACTTATACTAAATTTATACTATGTATGTATACTAAATTTACAAAGAGTAAATTTAGTATAAAGTTGATCCCCTTCCCTCAGGAGCAAAAGAAATCAGGGATGGGGTGCACTCAACTGGACAACCTTTCTCATTCTGGAGGCCCACTTCTGGGCCCACCATGTATGCTCCCCTCTTTCTCTGGCTGGGGAGCAAGGTAGCTCTGGGAAACGTGGCACTGAATTGTATGCAAAGACCAAGGGGTCAGAGGCTGGGAAACTCCATATTTTTGTGTGACCACCCATGCCTCACACTGGCCTCCTAGTTCCTCCAACACACTGAGCAGATCCTGCCACAGGGCCTTTGCACTTACTCTTTCCCTAGCCAGTTACACATCCACTCATGGTCTGCTTTTTTCTTCAGAGTTTTACTCAAACATCACTGTATCACTGAGGACTTTCTTCATCACCTTATTTCACACTACATCCCTTTTCTTGATCTTCTCCTACACACTACTGACTTCTAAATATATTCAATATTTTGCTTACCTTTGTTGCTCATCGTCTGTCTTCTCCCCTGTAAACTAAACTCCATGAGGACAGGGAATCTTGTCTGTTTTCCTTTCTGTTGCCTAGAGGAGTGTAGTAGGCAGTCAAGAATATTTATTCATCGAATTACTAAATCTCTCCTTTCTACTCTGGGATAAAGTCATAAAGTCATGAAATTCACACAACGGCTACAATTTCATTTTTTTTTTTTATTTGTGGCACTAAAAGACACAGAGAGACAGCGTGGCTTAAGAGAGACAGGCTGATGCTCTTGCCACACCGGGAAGGTGAGCGATTGTCTTCAGACAATGTGGAGCAAAAGTTTCCATTCTATGGGACACCTTGATCTGAAACAGTTATGAAATATTAAAATGATCTCACTATATTTGTTGTTCCATTAAGATAGGGATTTTATTTCATGAACTCCTCTTGATTTCTATTCATCACTTAGAGAGCTCTTTTCAACGTAACAAAAGGCTTTAGAGAGAGATGTGGAAAAACTAGCGCTGTGTCTAAACATTATAAATACCGAGGGCAGAATTCTGGGTGCTAAGAAAAGCCTCCTGCATGATACAGGGGTGCTACTGATCGATTGGGCAAAGGTGCCCAGACTGAACCCAAACCGTGAAATACCAGCACAGTTTTGATCCAATCGTGGTGACATGCAAGACACCCAGTGTCCCCTCTTGGTCCAATGGAGGATTTCAGAAGGTTCTCAGGGCAGTCACCAGGCTCCATATATAGCCCTCCCAGGGTTCGGGGCGGCAGGGGGTTCATTCTACTTCCCAGCCTGCTGGGGACGCCTGCAAAGTGGGGCACGGACCGTCTGCACCAATGCCTTTCTGACCTCTGTCACTGCCACCCTTGGAGAATCAGAAACACCTGTTCAGACATCAAGTGTGATTTTATTCTGGATGATAACTGCTGATTTTTTAAAAGCTTAGTTGGTCGGATGATGGTCTGAGACCCTCTGTGAGGTTGAAACCCCACATTTATGAGATTAAAAATCCAGTGATTTCTTTACTCAACGAAGTCATCTTCTGCTCCTTTCTTGCTACCGAGAACATCACAGAGTGTATTACATTCAGATTGTTTCAATTGGTTTAAACATATTTCCTAGGAATTCAAAAGATTTCAAACAGCTACGTGGTCTTAACCATCTCTGTGTGGTAAAATCTCAAAGTTCCAGAATCAGTCTAAGGTCACCATAATTAAGGGTAGCGCTGGGCTCCAGCATTTATAACCCCATTAACCTGCCAACAAGAATAGTTTATTGGCAACTTGAAATATTCAGAGGCAAACGTGTTTCCTTGGCACACACGCCACACAGCTGAGCAGCACCTTGCCCTCCCTTGAAACCATTTTGCAGGACTGAAAATCAATTGTGTGAGTTTGGCCTGTAGACAAGAAAGTTCACCAAATCCCAATGCCCCCTGCCACGCGGCGTCCTCGAGCAGTGACTATGGATGGCTCACAGGTGGGTTTCTGCCATGATCTGATCTTCTCAATGATTTATACGAGCAAGGGCACCTACAGTGGAAAGAGAGCCACAGTTACTCAGGGGACCTGGAGGAGCCAAAGGGCTTGGCCCAGGGCGTGCAGATCTGGGTGCTAAGAAGCTGAGGGCAAGAACATCCTTGCGAGTACTCTTCCAGCACAAGTTTCTACATCAATACCCATTCTACTTATAGCTCCAAGGAGGACATTTCTGGAACAGAAACATGCTTAATGACTTACAGTGACTTGCTCCAGCCAGTTTTTTTTTTTTTTTAAGATTTTATTTATATAACAGAGAGGGAGAGGAAGAGAGAGAGAGAGAGAGAGAGAGAGAGAGAGAGAGAGAGAGAACATGAGATGGGAGAAGGTCAGAGGGAGAAGCAGACTCCCTGCTGAGCATGGAGCCCAATGAGGGACTCAATTCTGGGACTCCAGAATCATGACCTGAGCAGAAGGCAGACACTTAACCCACTGGGCCACCCAAGCACCCCGATAGTTCTTTTTCAAGGAAGAAAGTATGAACCCGCTGGAGAGCTGTAGCACATCCCCCGGTCTCCACCATTCTGCTAGAGCCTGCAGCTGCCCCCAGCCCTCCCAGATTCTGGGATCTGCTGGGGTCTTTCGCTCCTCTGGACAGGCTTTGCATGTGGGGTTTCTCTGTTGGGGATGCATCTTTCCAGCTGGAAGCTATGAGCCCTTCGAGAATTGGTGTACATACTATCTCTAGGGAGAGGCTCTCCTGACCCAAGCCCTTCTCAGGGCTGATGCAGTTACCCCTCATCCTGTCAGTGACCCCAGTCTGCTGTCATGTCTCAGACTCCCTGCACCCTCACTCCTGCAGACTGGCTCACTGAGGAGGAATCATGGGATTCTCACTCCCTCCTCTGGGCACAGACCTTACTGAGTGCTCAGTATTTGTGGCACGAATGAGTGAACGCACAGGCATGACCCCATTCCCCTGGATGCGTAAGCTCCAACTTTCACTCTTGGCCTCACCCAGAATCCTCCTGTTCAACTGCAGAAAGCCAGATTTGTAGAATTTCGAAGGAGTTACTTCAGTGCCTTTAAAGGCTAAAATTAGGGGCACCCAGGTGGCTCAGTTGGTCAAGCATTTGATGCTTGATTTTGGCTCAGGTTATGATCTCAGGGCTGTGAGATCGAGCCCCACATCAGGTTCTGTGCTCAGCCCGGAGTCTGCTTATGATTCTCCTTTTCCCCCGCCCCTCCCCCAACTCAAGGGCGTGCTCTCTCTCTCTCAAATAAATAAATCAGTCTTAAAAAAAAAACAAAAACAAAGGATAAGGTTCAACAGTTTCCAGTTTGAGGAAATTACAAATAAAACTGCTATGTATATTGCATGTGAATACAAGATTATAAATTTACATTTGTTTCATTTCTCTCGGGTAAACACCCAGGGCAGGATGGCTGGATCACGTGGTAGCTACAGCTGTAACTTGAAGGAAGTGCCGATTACATTTGAAGTAGGGGTGCCATTTACATTCCCGCTAACAGGTCTTGAGAGTTCCAGTTGCTCTCCATCTCGTCGATGTTCTGTACTGTCATTTTCTACTAAAATTGTAGCCATTTTAGTAGGTATGTAGTGGGAACCCTGTGGTTTTGACGCGTTTCAATAATCAAGATATGGAACATCTTTTCATATGCTTCTTTACATCTATGTATCTTCTTCAAGGGTTTATTCAAATGTCTTGCCCATTTATTGACTTGTTTGCTTTCTTACAGTTTCTCTATGAATTCTAAATATATATCCCGTATCCAATAAATGTGTTGCCAACATGTAGTCATAGTACGAGGCTTGCATTTTCATTTTCTTAATGGTAAGTTCTTTTGAAGGGCAGAGGGCTTTAATTTTGAGGGAATCCAATTTGTCAATTTGCCCTTTGATGGACTGCGCTTTCGGTTTCAAATTCAAGACATTTTTGCATAAGCCAAGGTCACAAAGATTTTCTCATACATTTTCACTAGAAATTTTAGTTTTCGGTTTCAGATTTAAATATAATTAATTCTGAGTTACATAGTGTGAGGTGTGGATCAAAGTTAATTATTATGCATAAGAACAACAGCTATGGTTGCTATGACAGTTTTGGGAAAAAAAAAAAACAAAAAAACAACTGTCCTTTCTCCACTGAATTGTCTCTATACCTTTGTCAAAAATCAGTGGGTCTATTTGTGGGCTCTCTATTATTTTCCATTGGCCTTTCTGATGTCATTACCAGATTGTGTTAATTACTTTGGCATTGTTATAAGTATTGAAATAAAGAAGTGATAGTCCTCCGACTTGAATTTTTTCAAATCAGTTTTAACTATTCTAAGTCTTTGCATTTCTATCTCAATTTTAGAGACAGCCTGTCAATTTCTAAAAAGAGCCTACTGGGATACTGACTGGGGCTACACTGAATTTACAGTTCAATTTGGGGAGCATAGCCATATTGAGTTTTCAAATAGGAGTTATCTGTCTATCCATTTAGGTCTTCCTGAAATTCTCAGCAATGCTTTGTGGTTGTGTACATCTTTAGTCGAATTCATCCCTAAGAATTAATATTTTTGATGTTCTCAAAAATTATTATTTTAAAAAATCTAGTTTATGATTGTTCACTGCTAATACTTAGAAATACAGCTGTATTTGTAATGCTGCTATATCCTATAACATTGCCAGACGTACTTAATAAACTTAGAATCTGTCCATAGATCCCACTGGGTTTTCTAACATTGACCATTGCATGGTCTATGCAATAGGGATGCATTCCTCTTGCAATAGGGATGCATTCCTTCCTCTCTTCCTTCCTTTCTTCCCTCCCTCCCTTGCCTGCTTACAATGTTAGCACCTCCAGCATCACCTAACGCTGAAGAGAATGCAGATATTCTTGCTTTGTTTCTGATTCCAGGGAGATGTATTCTCTCTTCCATCATCGTCTATGATGTGGACTGTGGGTTTTCCATCGATGCCTTTTATCAGTTATTTCTTTTCCTACATTATAGACGTTTTTATCAGAAATGGATGTTGAATTACCAAATTCTTTTAATGTGTCTATTGAGATTATCAGGGTTTTTCTCTTTTTTTGTTGTTTATATCAACCCAACCTTGCATTCCCACTTGAACATGATGTTACTCTTGTTACATGTAGTTGGATTTGATTTGCTAAATTTCAATTTGGTTTTTTTGCATCTATGTTCATGAGGACTACTGCTCTATAGTTTTCTTTCCTTGTGATCTTTGTCTGGTTTTGGTATCAGGGTAACATTGTTTTTGTAGAATGAGGTGTGGAGTCATCTCTCCTCTTCAGGAAATTCTGAACAAAATTTCTAGAAGTTCAGACGTGCTGCTCGGTGAATGTTACATGTTTGGTAGAACTCACCAGTGAAGTCTCCTGGGCTTGGTGGCAGTGTTTTGTTTGTGTCTGTGTGGGTGGGGGAAGGTTTCTGACTTGTAATTAAATTTCTTTAATAGGTACAGGGCTACTTGGATTATCTATTTTCTTTTGAGTGAGTTTTGATAGCTTGTATCTTTCAAAGAATTCGTCTATTGCATAAAGCTGTTCATAATGTTGCCTTATTATCCTTTTTGCTATGTAGGATCTGTAGTGATATTATATCCCTCCTTCCTGATCTTGGCAGATTGTCTTTTTCCCAATAAGCCTGGCTAGAGGTTTGATCACCTCTATTAGTCTTGTGAAAGAGTAAGCTGTTGGTTTAATCGATTTTGCTTTATTCTTTTTTCTTCATTTCACTGCTTTCTGCTCTGACCTTTGTGATTTATTTTCTTCTGCTCACTCTATGCTCAATTTTTACTCTTCTTTTTCTAGTTTCTTAAGGTGGAAGTGAGGTCATTCACCTGTGGTCTTTCTTCTTTTCTAATACAGCAATGTGCTGCTATAGGTTCTCCTCCACGTACTGATTTTATAGCAGCAAACATTTTATGTCGTGTTTTAATTTACATTTTGTTCAAAATACTTTGCGATTCCATTTTTGAGTTTTTTCTTTGACCCATGAGTGATTAAGAGTCATGTTAATTAGTTTTCAAATATTTGGGATTTTTCAGAGATCATCTGGCATTGATTTCTAATTTAATCCTGTTGTGGTCACAGAACATACATGATAGTATTTAGATTCTTTAAATATAATTATATTAACTGTTTCCATATCCTCATCTGCCAATTTTAACATCTGGGTCTGCTTTAGGGAGGTTTTCATCGATTCCTTTTCAGCATACAGTGTTTCATATCCTCCTGCCTCTTTGTAGCAACGGTAATCTTTGATTGGATGCTCGACACTATCAATTTTACCTCATTGGGTGCCGGATATTTTTGTCTTCCTACAAATATTCTTCAGCTTTATTCTGGGATGCAGTTATGCAGAAACAGTCTGATGGTTTTGCGTGTTGCTGTGAAGAGGTGCTGTGCAGCTTGAGAGCCACACAGAGTCCTCTAGTCTAGCTGTGTGAGCTCCAGGTGCTGCTCCTTCTTACGCTACCACGTGACTCTGTCCTGGCCTCACAAGCATGTGCCCATCACCACTGCACTGACTATTCCAACGGGCCTTCTGCAGTCTCTGGAATTCTCTCTCCATGCTGCAATTTCATGTTCAGGGCTCTGTGCTGTACACCTTAGCTGCCTCGGTGACCCCAGACTCCTAGCTCTGCTCCCCAGCTCAGGGAGTCTGCTGGCCACTGCTGATTTCTTCTTCTTGTACAGAGGCTGGGAAGCTTCCTGTCCCTCAGGGGTCCTGTTTCTTGTTGCCTGCTGCCCAGTGACTTAAAAAAAAAAAAAAGTTGTTTCTTACATTTTATGAGTTTTTGGTTATCTCAGGTGGGATGGTAATTCCAGTCCCTGAAACTTCGTCTTGACAATAAGCGGACATTCCCAAGGATTCAAAGATGTGAGAGTTGAACATACTTGGAAAGCTCTGTTTTACTCCTTTTCCTATTGCTCTGCTGGAGGTGTGGACTGGCCCATGTTCCCTATTCTGGGCTAGCTCCATGTCTTCTATCTTGTCCTCTCTCCAGGCTTGTTCCAGGC